TCCTCGCTCCTCAACTCGCCATGGGTACTTCCTCGCTCCCGGGTTTCTCCATCTAGATGCTGGCTTGCTGCTGCTCCCTCCTGCTCCGTGCTCAGATCCGACCAAAGGGGTTTTGCTGACTTTTTTTTGATTTTTTTTTCTGGATGGATTTCTGATGCAGGCAAGATCAAGATCGGAATCAACGGTGGGTTTGTACCCCCAATCTAGTTCTTCCCGCTCGGTTTGTTGGGTTTGGAGTCATCTGACTGGTTGTCCCTGCGTCTGCGTGTGTGATTACGCTCAGGTTTCGGAAGGATCGGCAGGCTCGTGGCCAGGGTCGCGCTCCAGAGCGAGGATGTCGAGCTGGTCGCCGTCAACGACCCCTTCATCACCACGGACTACATGGTATGCGCCTCGATCTGTTGCGTTTGTTCCGTGCCACGAGTAGATCTGGTGGTTTACAAGGTTTTAGGGTGGGTTTAGCACCGATCCGTCAGCGCATGCTCGGTTCAGTTAATCGTGGCGTTTGGAGTCGTTTGACTTCAATTCTTTACTGGTTCTCTCCGTAGATCTGGGGGTTCTATTGGTTCTGTTGCTCTATTACAGTATCAGCCTGAGGTGTTGTAGATTTGGTGCTTACTTCAGTTTCTGAATTTTGAAAATCTGTGTGCTGCGCTCATGGTTTATGTGCTCCCCATCTTGCGTAGACCTACATGTTCAAGTATGACACAGTGCACGGCCACTGGAAGCACAGTGACATCACACTCAAGGACTCCAAGACCCTCCTCTTCGGTGAGAAGGCGGTCACCGTCTTTGGCATCAGGTACTCCCCTCTCCTGCTTCTTTCATGGATGGGTTGAGTTTGTGTTGAAGCTGTGAGCTAATGTTTGAACTGCGGCGATTCTACAGGAACCCTGAGGAGATCCCGTGGGGTGAGGCTGGTGCTGACTATGTCGTTGAGTCCACTGGTGTCTTCACTGACAAGGACAAGGCTGCGGCTCACTTGAAGGTATAATTGCTGCTTCATGATCCTATGGCTGTTTCAGAATGTTTGCAGGTTGTTTGCATACCATTTTATTCCCAATTCCTGACTATATGCATTTGTGTGATCATTTACATGCGGTGGACAAATTGAGTGATGGCTACCTAGTATTTGGGCTTAGCAAATCGTGTCCTAATTTTCACTAGAAAACTTTCTTATTAGTACTGCTTGCATACTCACAACCTGCAGCCAGGCAGAGCTGCTATTACTAGTACTACTACACTACCTTCTTTAGTATTCAACTGGTCGTATGCTTCTGTAAGCTGTAACGTCCTGAGGTTTTGGTATTGCATAGTGGTTGTCTAATGTTAGTTTTGTTGTTATAAGAAGAGTTACTGGAGTCTTTATAGAGATCTAGAAATTATCAGACAGGATGATTTAGTGTCGTGACTAGGATCTAATACACCCATGTACTTTCTATACTATGCTGCCTTACTTGTCAGATCGCCTTGAGCCTTGTAAATTCCCCTGTTAATTTGGATGTTTCTGATAGCTGTATTTTCCTTTTTTTTGAATTATTATATAGGGTGGTGCTAAGAAGGTTGTTATCTCTGCCCCAAGCAAAGATGCACCCATGTTCGTTGTTGGTGTCAATGAGAACAAGTACACCTCGGATATTAACATTGTTTCCAATGCTAGCTGCACAACAAACTGCCTTGCTCCCCTTGCCAAGGTGTGTTTCCTCCCCTCTTATTTGGGTGTTCTTTTTAGTTGTCTGCTCTTCTGATGTAGTTTGATTTACTAATGGTGTCTAATGTCATTAATTAGGTCATCCATGACAACTTTGGTATCATCGAGGGTCTGATGACAACTGTTCATGCCATCACTGGTAAGTTTTCTTTAGCTGTCGAGCTATCTCCCCTCCTAGGATTATTGACAAGATACATTTAGTTGGCTGTATAATGACAGTGTAGTACTTATCTGTCAGCCGCCCAGAAGACTGTTGATGGACCCTCAGCCAAGGACTGGAGAGGTGGCAGGGCTGCTAGCTTTAACATCATCCCCAGCAGCACTGGTGCTGCCAAGGTATATAATAAATTCAGTAATTCACAATGTTGGACGGAGTGAGCTAATGTTTGTTCTTTTTGTAAGTGTTGGTCATTTATTCAGACCGACTTGGCCAGCTGATTGTACTAAATTATTGTTACGCTGTGTTTTGGTTTCATGTAGCTTCATGAATAAATTTTTAATGCCAATGTATGTGCATTTCATGTAGCTTCTTGTTGCTACATGAGTTATTATATAGCTAATTTGCATATCCATATGAGCATAGACATGAAGGGCGGACCTGGTGCAAGCGGTAGAGTCTTACCGCCTATGACCGGAAGGTCCCGGGTTCGAGTCGCGGTCTCCTCGCATTGCACAGGCGAGGGTAAGGCTTGCCACTAACACTCTTCCCCAGACCCCGCACAGAGCGGGAGCTCTCTGCACTGGGTACACCCTTTATATGAGCATAGACATAGCTAAATGAGCATTAAGCATTAAAAGGCCTGGTTGATTGCCATCCTAGTTCTAACTTAACCTATACTTCCTCTTTAGTTTGGGTCGTTGTTCACCTCATTTTTCTTTTTAGTGTAAAGTCGATATCCATTCTATTCTGATGATTATAGATGGAATGCTGTATATTGACTTTCAATATTGATGAATTGCAGGCTGTCGGTAAGGTTCTTCCTGATTTGAATGGCAAGCTCACTGGTATGTCCTTCCGGGTTCCCACCGTGGATGTGTCAGTTGTTGACCTCACTGTCAGAATCGAGAAGGGTGCCCCCTATGAGGATATCAAGAAAGCTATTAAGTAAGTGATAATTCCATTTATATTTTAATATTCAGTCAATGTGAGTGTATTGTTATTTTTAAACCAATGCCTATGAATGTAATAACACTCCTTGTTGGATTTATCTCTACTATCACATTTGATGTTCACTTTTTATGTTTCCTGCATCTTTCTTGATCTTAGAGTAGTTTATCCATCTATTTTGGTAAGGATTGATGACAACATTTACTTAATTGCTATTGCTTTACAGGGCTGCTTCTGAGGGCCCACTCAAGGGTATCATTGGCTATGTGGAGGAGGATTTGGTTTCCACCGACTTTGTTGGTGACAGCAGGTATGCCTTTGCTTCTTATCATTTAGGAGCCAACATAACTGATTATTAGGCACACTGTTATGTCGAATTCTGATGGTGTTCTCTGATTCATCTGTCGTTTGTGTAATCTCCGTATTCATTTGTCATTTTGCTGCTTCCACTTAGGTCGAGCATCTTCGATGCCAAGGCTGGTATCGCCCTGAACGATAACTTCATCAAGCTTGTCTCGTGGTACGACAACGAGTGGGGCTACAGCAACCGTGTCGTCGACCTGATCCGCCACATGTTCAAGACCCAGTAGAGATTTTTCTGCTTTCCATCGCATCCCAATGGCCTTGGTCGCTGTCCATCCCGCTGCTTGTCTATGCTGAGAATAAATGTGAATGGTGCCTCTGGACGCCCGGTTCATGCTGAGTTTGGACATGTTTTGTGTTTCCATTTCTGCTAGCATCCTGTAACGAATTCGCTAATATGGGACCTGAGTTTAGTTTTTGCTTGTGAAGAATATAAACAGTGGGGTTGCAATTTTGTTATGCTTAGCTGGTTTGGTTTCCTAGATGAGCTGGTCTTTGGGAATAATAGTTTTTGATTCGTCATGTTTCTGTGTTCTTAAATCCTTTGTGTGTTCAATGTTATTTGCAGTGTATTCTCATTTATGTTATCAATTGGTCTTTTTTTTTGTACTTTTGGTGGTTCCTTTTGTGTGGTAAGCGAGATGTGAAATGGTGGCCAACGAAGCAGGGCACACTATGGTCTTATGCTGGTGTTGGAACTTGGAAGAATGAGATTCCGATAATTTTTTCTGCTTTTAGCCTGTTCGCTTGTTGGTTTTAGCTAGGGTTTATCAGCCAGTCAGCAGTGTTTTAATCAGACTACTGATATAAGACGATAATATGACAATGATAAAGCACCAATTTTAATCAGACTGAACGAAGGCTTGGCAATCATCATTCTTACATCAAGCATGACCCTGCGGTCCCAAGCCTTTACAAACTTCATCAACTTTAAAGCAAAAAAACAATTATATTTGCAACTTTTGGTCGGTAAAGAAAACTGTAACCCGTTTGAAAGAAAAAGTACTGTAGAGGGAAAGAACAGAAACTCTATTGTCTAGTAAAGTAAACATCACAAAAGCTCAACTATTTGGTCCTAACTATGCATAAACACTGGCTTTTGGTTGGGGTTTGTTTTAGCAACTGACCTACAGTAACACAAATTTACAACTTTACTTTATGAAAATAGTACTACCTCGGTCAAAAAGAGAATGGGGATTCTAGATCTGTTCTAAGTTAAACTATTTAAATTTAACTAAGTTTACAAAAAAAAAATAGTATCAACAACTATGATTCCAAATAGATATTCAAAGGAAAGTTATAGCTTAATAAATGTAATGATACTTATTTGATATCATGAATATTATTAGTCAGTAGTTTCAAAAAATCATCAAAGTAAAGATCGTTTGGCTAAACACACTAGCTAGAATTGTATTCTTTCTTCGGGGGGGAAAGCAGCTCATACTAAAAATAACTAACATCCCCGCATATTGCTTCACAAAAGCCAATTCGTGTAAGCTTAGTAGATCTTCCATTGAAGAATTGAACAGCGAATTGTTGTAATCAGAGGATTGTGCACAAATAACACCATAGATTGATGTGATACTAAAATTTATCAAACTTTCACGCTCGGCGAACTTGAGACCTTGAAAACATCATTTCCATCAACAAAAGCATGTCTGGGATGCGACATGTACTGCTCATTGAGTCATACTCCTAGTTGCTAATAAGATAGAAAGAGACACAAATAAAGATAGATAGACTGCAATCACCCCAGCTGGGTAGATTACATAGAAACCTCCACATCTGCCTTCTCTTCCTTCTTGTTTGAGGAAGTTATCATCTTGGTGTCTCAACTCGCTCTCCGGCGAACATAGTATCATCCAGGCCGAGCTCAGCGAACATCGCCGACCACGTTTCCTTGAAATGCTGCTCCAGTTCGAGCCTCTCGGCGATCATGTCGTCGTCCACCGCGACGAACCCCTTGTCCGCGTACTCCCTGCGCACCCTTCCCTGCACCTCGGATAAGGCGTCCTGGGCGTACTCGTGATCCGCGGCCTCGCGCTCGAGCTCCTCCTTGGTGGTGGAGCTGTCGGCGACCATGTCCTTGTACACAGCCGTGGACTCGAAGGGCTTCCGTGGCCGAGACAGGATGTAGTTGATCTCGGACTCGGATAGCCTCTTGTAGGCCACCACGTATTCCGTCCAACTCATCACCGTCGGACCGTCGTCGTCGTCGTCGCCGACGCCGTCAGAATCCTCCACATCGGCTACGGCCTCCGCGTCCTGCGCCACCGCACCAACATACGCCTCCGCGTCGTCGTCCTCCGTGGAAGAAGAGCTCGTCTCCTCTGCAACCTCAACCACTGCCGCCGCAGCGTCCTCCTCCACGCTGTTGCTCTTGGTGGTGCTGAGCATGATCAAAACCGTAGCTCCTCGTCGACCGTCGGTGGATCTGCCGCCGCCGCGCCGCGCCTCGCCTCCTCGCGGAGATTTTTTTTTAGGGATAGTATAGTATACTAGGAAGAGAGGCGCGCTTCGCCGCGCCCGCATTGCTTTGCCATGCTAATGGCCCTGCCTGTGTGGGAGGCACACATAAGCAGCTTTTGTACTGCTGGCCTGATTAATTATATTCATGTTTTGAGGCTGATGAAACGCATATAGTTCAGAGTGGGCTAGCCCGTTAAAACTTAGACCATCGCACATGGTGAGGTCCAGTGCGGCACCTAAGAGAATTAGATATAGGAACCCTCAAATCCTATAATCAATGATCCAAAAGTCTAACAGTTGATTTCGTATGAATAGACAAACATATATGTATCAAACATGTATATAAAGTATGATACAACGTGACAGTCACATACAAAATCCTAAAAACATCAAAATCCTAGCATTACAGGATATATATCACTTTGTAGGCACGTAAAAATTTTGATCAGCAGAAGAACTTACTCCTTTACAACTGACACCTTAATAACAGTATGGGACTCAGTGCCTTGACGTGATTGATAAAGAGTGTACGTTGTAGGGCTTCATCTTAGCCTGGTTTGGTACTGTTGTTGCTGCATAAACCATCTATTGAAGTTGCACCTACCTCTAACATATATCCACAATTCATTTCAATTCTGGAAGACTTTGTGCCTTTTTGAGAGAAAAGAAATATCATCTTTGTTGACTATACATCATGATTTTAGCTATTCTTGTTGTACCTATCGTCATGTATATGAACCTGTAATCCTACGCAAGAAAAAATGATATTAGATAGTGGTATTTCCATCCTGTAGTTTAGCACAGATCATTATCAAATGAAATAAGATATAAATAGAGATATGCATTGTATTTCTGAATTCATATCATGTAATTCAGGTCTTACTGCATTTTATTTTGGAAGAATCGAAGACACAAATAGAAAAAGAGAGCTATTTTTGTGTTTAAATGCCAATCATTCATTTTCAGTTGAGGGCATAGGTGCAAAGGTTGTCTGTCTATGATAACACACATGATACTTACCTTGGCGCGATAATTATATCTAGTTCATGTGTAGCCTACATAACATCTAAGATATGATCCATGTCCACAGACCATTATGCAGTTGTAGTGCCAAGGTTATCTGTGCTAGCTATTTTGCTTCACTGTCCCTATGTGACACAGGGAGAAAAATCTTTCAAAATTTTATTTATTGATTGTAGGCTAAGTGGCTAGGCTAGCTAACTTAAGTCATACAGAAAGAAGGAAATAATTGACACACTGAAAGTGCATCTAGCCCTTTAGTGGGTTTTGGTTGATTGAATGACAACGTGATTAAAGGACTAACCCGTTTGCTAAGTGTGAACAGGTAATAGGTTATCTCACAGGTACTTAATGAAAGCCAAAATGATGTGTTGTTGTATAAACAATCTAGTTCAAGCACAAGACAACAATGCAAATGGAATTCATGTGAAGGCTTATTTTTTTGTGGGATTTCCATGTACTATGTGAAAGCAAGCTCATGATTATTAGTTAATGAGACATGAGGGATTGCATATGGAATGGTCTCATATTTGAAGCTTGCTAAATTAAAATAAAAAAGATAACAATACATATGAATGGATGATTCAACACAAGATGTGACTTGATGGCTTGAGATGGTGAAGATAGCAAGGAAAGGCTTCGAGGTACTAAGCAAGGGTGAAGGGCAAGCGGACGGCTTGGCGGTCAAGAACCTAGCTAGGGTGAAGAAGAAAGTACTTGCATTTAGTTGAGGTACTAATCAAGCTAAGATGGTCATATTGATGTGAAGAATCAAATCTATAATGAAGTATTTGATGGAAGTGACTTGATACATTTGGGGTTATTCAAATTTGATGAATGGAATCAAGTCACATGCTCAAGATGGCTATGCTCAAATGAAAAGATCAACATCAACTTGTTAGCACCCTTACTTGATGAAGATTGGAAGGACGGCATCAATTCAAAAGAAATCAACTCAAGTGGTATAAATTCATTTTTCCTTTGATCTTGAGTTTAATAGGTATGCCGCGTACTATTAAGAGGGATGCATCATGTTGATAGATAATGTTTCATAAGTGCTCAAGCCAACCCATGTGAGGTTTGATTATTTGAGCGACAAATGTGCTAATCGATTTCTTATCGGCTTTGGCAATACCTGGGGACGATGTCCGTATTCATCCCGGACGTGTCGAAGATTTGTCCAAGAATTGTAAAATTGTTGTTCTCGGGTTGTTTGCCGTCGGGAGTTCCGACGTAGGTCGGGAGTTCCGACGGTCGGGAGTCCCGGCATGGGTCGGGAGTTCCGACGTCTCGCACTTTAACAGACTTAGAGGTTTCTCTGTCCTGGTCATACCGGACGTGTCCGGTATTCACACCGGACGTGTCCGGTATGGATGACCGAAGCCAACGGCTAGTTTTCAAAAGCCGTGAGGGTCGGGAGTTCGACATGCGCCGGGAGTTCCGACACCTCACTAACTTTAACTTCGATTACATGTTTTTCAAAATTGCCGAGGGTCGGGGTTCCGACTTGAGTCGAGAGTTCGACGGTCGGAAGTCCCGGCATACTTCGGGAGTTCCGACGCCTCACAACATCATCAGAATTTAGTTACCGTTAAGTATGATCGAGTCATACCGGACGTGTCCGGTATGCATACCGGACGTGTCCCGTATTTAACGGCTATAAACGGCTAGTTTTTCAAGGGGGCTATAATACCCCAAGCCTCCACCTTTGGAGGCTGCTGATTCTGTTGAGATAGACACACGTTTTTGAGCCTTGCCAACTCTCCTAAACCCTCTCTTAGTGAGTGTGTGATCCAAATTGCAAAATCAATTTGTGGGTTGAGAGAGAATTTGAAAAGAGAGCAAGCCACCACTTGAGCACTTGTGCATATTGTCAATCTCGTGATTCGCATTTGTTACTCTTGGACTCTTTCGGTCCTAGACGGTTAGGCGTCACGGAGAACAACCGAGAGATTGTGGTTGCTTCGGAAAGTTTAGAATTGGTCGATTCCGCGCCCGGAATCAAATTAGTGGAAGGAGGAAAAGGAGTTGGAAAAGACTCGCCTAGAGTGACCTTCGTGGTACCCTCTAGGGTCTGACCTTCATTGGGTCGCCCTGAGCCCCCTCAATCGGAGAGTAGGACTCGAACGAGTCCGAACTTCGTAAAACAAATATCGTGTCTAAATTCGCATTTCATTTGATATTTGTGTTGCTCTCTAGCTGATTCTGCAGAGTTCTCTGTGTATATTGTCATCTCCATTAGGTGCCCGCAGTTTGGTTTGAAGATAGAAATCGAAAGGAGCAAGTTCGGGGCCGATTTGCGAGAAATCGTGTATACTGGGACACGTCCGGTATTCATACCGGATATCGCCCGGTATTTTTCTCGCCTGACCGAAAATATTTATTCTCTCTGTTCTAACTTGGTGTTGCAGGTTGTAGCTTCTAGATATATTCTTTATACCTTGTTTACTTTGTGGCTAACTTGTGAGGGGTGGTAGTACTCTTAATTTGGAGTTTCCATCTTTGGAAACTCCCCTTTCTAATTGTTTCCGCATTTAAAGGTGTTATTTTTCAGAAACGCCTATTCACCCCCCCTCTAGGCGGCATCCTAGGTCCTTTCACACACAACAGATATTGGTACAAAATGAACAAAGAATTTATCCCCTCAAGCTTAAATGCACATGGTCTTCGACAATGAACTTTTGACTCACCAATTTGATCGAAATAATGGAGGTCTATATCGACGTGGTACCCGTTTAGTTCAAATAAGCTAAGTAAAACAACACTTGAAAATGGACATAACTTATGAGATGCACCACACAGAAGGAACGATTTTACCTTTGTGTACGTAGGATTACAACCATGTCCACAACATGTCAAATCTTGACGGGTAATCAGAAACATGAACTATGGCCCATGCTGATGGCATATATCCTAATGCTGAACATCGAAAAACAGGACTCAGAGGTATGAGAAAAAACGGAGGTCCACCTCTGCAAAAGAGCAGTTTTAGTTTTTTGCTCAACAAATAGATAACCAAAGAAAAGTTTCAATGCTGATTGCAATTCACACAATGCACTCATAGATGTCTCACGGAACCAAATAAGGTGAATGTAATAGAGGAATCCTGGAGCCAAATAATTACTTGTAGATCAATTGTGTACTATATTTGTTTATGCTAAAACACAATGAGAACCATACATACAGAGGGTAAAACGGAGAACATGAAACAATTTGACAGGAAAAAGAGATGGAGAAGTGTAAATTTGCAGTGCTGACTGCACTCTAGCAATGTACAAAATGGGATCATTCAGATGTTTCACAGGATGACAGAATCAAATAAAGAGAAGTCATAGTAGAGCCAAATAATTACTCTACACAAAATTCAGAGAAATCGTAGAGCGAAATAGTTACCTATAGATGTTTGACAGAGTACATGTAAATCAATTTTGCACAAAATTATTTACACTAAAAAACAATCAGAATCATACACTCATCATAGTCAGAACATAGAGAGGCAAATAAGCTGATCTGGGCAGTGACTCGTGTAATGTTTTTTTTGAGGGATCAGTAGGAGTTTCTCCCTGTTGCTTAAATATATATATTATAAATAGATAAAAGAGTAGTACAGTACAGAATGAATCAAAATCGTAGATCAATTTCGTGTAATGTAACCGTGAAAACAAAATTACTGGTGATTCTATGAACCATTGGCATCCAACCATAAAAAAACTTTAATGCAAAAAAAATGGTAGGAGTATCTTAAATTCTAAAAACACTACTAATGTCTCATTCTCATTACTGAATCTGATAATCGAAGTCAAATTGGTATGGAGCAACCTAACCATCATTGATCAATGTTTTCTAGCCTATTCGCTGGTTGGTTTCTGGGCTGATAAGCCCAGCTGGTGCTGATTTGTTGTGAGAGA